TGGTAAAATATTTCGAACAAAAGAAATGTATTGATTTTGATGAAATTTTCTCACATGTTGTCAAAATAACTTCTATTCGAACAATCATGAGCTTGGCAGCTAGCCTAGATCTTGAAGTGGAGCAGTTGGACGTGAAAACTGCATTTTTGCATGGAGATTTAGAAGAAGGGGTCTATATGGAGCAACCAAAAGGTTTTGAAGTAAAGGCGAAGAAACACATGGTATGCAAGTTGAATAAGAGTCTTTATGGGCTGAAACAAGCACCAAGGCAGTGGTACAAGAAGTTTGACTCATTCATGAGAAGTCAAACGTACACAAATACTTTTTCGGATCCATGTGTATACAATAAGAAATTCTCTAACAATAACTTTATCATCTTATTGTTATATGTGGATGACATGCTGATTGTAGGACAAGACAAGAAGCTGATCAAGTTGAAGGAAGATTTGTCCAAGTCAATTGACATGAAAGACTTGGGTCCAGCACGATAAATTATAGGAATGGAGATTGTCCGAGATAGGACAAATCGAAAGTTGTTGCTATCACAAACGAAGTACATTGAACGTGTTAAATGTTTCAACATGATGAGTGCTAAACCAGTTATCATGCCTCTTGCTGGTCATATGAAGTTGAACAAGATAATGTGTCCTACAACAAAGGAAGTTAAAGAAAGTATGGCTAAAGTTGCATATTCCTCTGACGTTGGGAGCCTGATGTATGCAATTGTATGTACTAAACCTGATATTGCTCATGTTGTCGGTATTGCTAGCAGGTTTCTTGATAATCCCGGAAAAGAACATTGGGAAGCGATGAAGTGGATACTTAGGTATCTAAAAGAAACCTTAGATGAATGCTTGTGTTTTGGGAGATTAGATCCAGTCTTGAAGGGATATACCGATGCTGATATGGCCGGTGATACTGATAATAGAAAATTCACTATTGGATATCTATTTACTTTTTCAGGGGGGGCTATATCATGGCAGTCTAAATTACAAAAGTGCATTGCTATTTCAACAACTGAAGCAGAGTATATTGCCGCTACAGAAGCTAGAAAGAGATGGTATAGCATAAGCGGTTTCTTTAAGAGCTGAATTGCATCAAAAGGAATATATCGTCTATTGTGACAGTCAAAGTGCAATAGACTTGACCAAGAACTCCATGTACCATGCAAGAACAAAGCATATCGATGTGAGATATCATTGGATTCTTGAGCAAGTGGAGATCGAATATTTGCAGGTAAAAAAGATTCACACAAGTGAAAATCCTGCGGATATGATGACCAAGACGATACCAAGAGGCAAGTTCGAGCTATGCAAAAAACTTGTCGGAATGAGCTCTATATGAAAAATTAGAGATATCTCATTCAGGTGCATGGGACTGGAAGGGGAGATTTGATGGGTTCATCCCATGTGAAAGGAAGACAACTTCCTTTGGTTTTGAAATGTCAAGCCAACTAAATGAATAGTAAAGAAGATTTTATGGCAAATATTTCTTAGGTTTCACAATGAATATTTGACTTTTGCCATTAACGTAACATGGCATCATTGATGACATCAATGAAGCATTCTTAAGCACTATAAATAGGTGTCTTGCTCTCAATTGTTAAACACACCAACAAAGAGAGAAAGAAAGAGTGAGGCATCACAGAGGAGGTATAAGAAAATAATTTGTGAGAAAAACAGAGAGTGTGAGCGATATTGTTGTGGGAATATCAAAAGAGGGTTATTTCTTTGAGTGTTGTAGTGGTATTGGGAGTATTTTACTCGGACCTATAAAGTGTAAAAGTCTTTGCTATAGTGTTATCAGTTGCTCCTCTCGGGCCGTGGTTTTCCCTTATTCAAAAGGATTTTTCACGTAAAAATCTTGGTGTCGTTGTCACTCTTTTATTCTTGTTAATTACTGTATCTCTATGTTACATTATTATTATGTTTTTATTATCATGAATATTATTTATGTGGGGGTTTATTCCCAACACTCACTTTTCAATATTTTAAAACATAACATTGGCAATATTTCCTCCCTGATGAGTCTATCCTAGTTGGGAGTATTCCAACGTTTTTGGTGAGTAGAGAAAGAAAAGCAGTTCTGCTCCATCAAAGAAAGAAAAAAGATTGAGTTTCTAATTTACACGATATTATCTATCTTTTGGAGATATAGCATGATATTGGTTTCTTTTATGATGTTAATCCATTAAATTCTTTCATTGCAGTTGTCTTTGTCCTCAACCAGCAATTTTGCGACTCAGGTCTGCCTTAATAGTGTCATCTTCTTATATCTTTGGCCACTTCTCTGCCAATAACTTTTTCTTCTTGCTCGCGGTCATCCTCTCTTTTGATATGACAATAGCCTCGTACATTCATCAGCTTGCTACTTAGCAGTTATTACTAGTTAATAATCAATAATTAAGGATCAGTGTCTTATTTTACTTGTACTCTCAACTGAGAGTGAATGCTTTCAGCCACTGAGCTTGTCAATCTACTTCCTTGATGAAATGATATTAGGACACATTTATTGTAGCTTTATTCTGATAAATATGAAGGGGCAAATGATAAAAAGCCTGAAGACTCAGAAAAAGCGCCAATAGAAGTATTTGCAGAAAAGTAAACAGACAACTTTTATTAGATAGGACAAATCACAGTGCAAATGTACATCTGCACTGTGGGGTACATATTATGTAAATAAATTATTGAAGAACACCAGTGCCAGCCAACAAGTCTAAAACCTTTTAACATGACACTTTGAAGGTCCTCCATTTGTGTAACTCAAAATTCTTGTGCTTCTGGTTGATATATGCATCAGCCTGCGTATTGATGTTCTTCTCTTCATTCTTGTTGAATTCAGCAGTTCCCTTAGACTCTGCGAACTGAACCTTCTTATGGGACTCTGTGGCCGGGTTCTTTTGATGATTCAAGATAGATTTTTGTTGTTGATCACAGCTTAATTTGTTTTTGAAAACAGAGTAAACATTTGGGTAGAGAGGAATATCAGGGTGCATGGTTGGGGATTTCTCCATTCTTTTAATATGATCGAGGAATTCATCTTCAGACGTTGCTTCCCAATACTGAATGGATCTCATATTTTCTTGATTTGCTCAAGTAATTAGCCCTTAGCTTATTCTTTCTGCAGAGTAGTTGCAGCTTGAGCAAACAGATATTAAAGGCCCAAACACACTGCTTTAAATATTCCAAAAGGACAGATGCCTCGTTTTCTATTTGAATCCGATTCCTTCTGTCTAGTCTGTATATATCCAACAGTTGATTCTATTGATATTTCGGCACAGAATCAAAAGAGTAAACTTTTGTATTCTGCAAAATTTAACATTCATATAAATAATGATAGTGATTACATTTATCTCAAGTTATTCTCTAAGCTTTAATCCATCGAGCCAAGAGACATCAACTAATATAGGTAAGGTAAATGCTATAACAAATAGTTCACCATTATCTATAGCTTAATTACGTGAAGTCCTAATGTTCCTAACAGGGGCCTTGCATGACACACATGTTATCGACATTGGATCGGAGGCACTAATGTTGCAAGTATCTAGGAACAGATGTTACATGCTCAAAGATTTCCCACTTAAAAAAACAGCAGAGGCAGTTGATATTCTTCTTTAATAGTTCTATTACAAGATGTGTTTCACATGTTTATACTTGGGCATTTGAAAGAGGAGAATGATCCGCTCATCATCGGGAAGTTTGTGAAAATTGCTACTCCTATAGAAACGTATGTTGAGGGCAGGATAGATGTCTTAGCCAAATCTGTTGTTTACCTTAATACGAGCAAGATTCTATTCTGTCTTGTAAAATTTGTCGTGGCCCCTGCGGAGAACAAGATATGGGAAGCGAGACTTAGATGGTTCGGACATGAGAAGAGGAGAGACATAGATGCCCCAGAAAGGAGGTGTGAGAGATTGGCCTTGAAGGGTCTAAGGATAGGTAGAGGTACGCCGAAGAAGATTGAGAAGAGGTGATTAGGCTAGACATGGCGATGCTCCAACTTACTGAAGACACGACCCTTGATAGGAAGGTGTGGAGGTCGAGGATTAGAGTAGAAGGTTAGGTAGCCGAGCGTTTTCCTTGTTCACACTAATAGTATTAGTACATACTCTTATATTTTATTGGTCTTAGGTTTCTATTACTAGTTATTTCTTTCATTTCGGTCATCTTACTATCTTGTTATTATTGCTTCTTTTTCACGGCTTCTCACTGATTTCTGAGCCGAGGGTCAACTGAAAACAACTTTTTTATCTCCACAAGGTAGGGGTAAGGTCTGCGTACACACTGCCCTCTGACAAATCTCACTATATGGAGTTACACTAGGTATATTGTTATAGTGGCAAGCACAAATGGTGGATCAAATGTCAATATCAACCAAAGGTGTTCTGGGAATAGAGGGTAACTAGACATTGAACTCATTATAGGTGAAGCCTCATGTAGCGTACAACTTACATACTTTTAGAATATAGAAGAACAAAATCGCAAATTATCAACAATCCCCCGGACATATATTTAAGTGTAAACTATTACTCCGTATTTGTTTTTAACTTAAAAATAATCTAAAATGGCGGATATTGTTTACACTATCATGACGGTAAAATCGACACATCTTATGATTATTGCGGTTCAAGAATTGTCTATATAATTTTACCCAGAAAAAAATAACAAAAAGTAATAAAATTTGGCGTACTCCAAACACCCTTTTTTACCTCAAACTTATGTCAAGTATAAACACTTGCCTACCATCTAACTTCTCAATGACAATCATATAAACATTTTCTAATCCGTTACCATATAAGTACGGTACTACTTACACCCTTTTAGCTCCGAGATCGGGGCAAGAGTAGCAAGACCACCTGCCAAGTCTATATGGCTTAAATAATCTTGTTTGATACTTGACGGTTCATAAAAAATATTCACCAGAAATATTTTATTATGACTGCTTGCCTATGTCACTAAAAGAGCGCCTTAAATTTTAGATTTCAGATGAGTCACTCTCTCTCTAACAAGAACGTAAATTTCTCTGCCTCCTTGCTATTTCCAAGAAAAATATTCATATGCATTAAGCACTAAATATCAGGTGTTTTAGGATACGACTACTTACCATAGTATATATATTACACAGCTAGTTCAAGTAATAACTTAAAAGAGTTCGTCGAACCACTGTACTTGACAAAAAGTAACCAAATCCATGTTGTTGCATCCCACAAATTATTCATACCCCAAACTATCAATCACCCGGTAGGACAAACAGTAAATCTCCCCTACTGCTCTCCAGCAATAAGATCCATGACAACACGCTTGATGCTTCCTTTGTTCTTCTTAAGCAGCTTCTTGTTCATTTCTTTGTCGGAGAAACCCTGCATTCACAAAATACCCATAGTCAACCTGGAATAATTCTTGCACAAGCAACAGAAGAGTGAAAAGAGAAGTTGAAACTTCCAGTTTTTCTTTGCTAAAATTAACCTACCATCTCCTCCAGCTCTTCGAGGATAGGATCCCACTCAGCAACACCACAGAGATCATCAACAGACTGCTCCAAGTCATACTCATTCTTCCTCAAGATTTCCTTGTTCAGATCCACCTGCTTGAACCCCATTTCCTCCAGCTCACGGAGGAGGGACGTCTCAATTTCGTTATTCCCTCTAACACCCTGGGGTGGTGCCTGCGTATCTACAGCAGCGGATGGTACCACACAAGTAACTGCTGGTGCTTCCTCAGACAAATCAATAATTGGATATGAAATTGATGAACCGGGAGCAGAAGAACTTGACTTGTCACCAAATCCAACCAACAAGCTATCATTAGTAGGAAATATGGCCTCCTGCTCCTTGTTCTGGTGTACATCAGTCACTGAATCAACCAACTCTATCGTTGTGCTAGAGCTCTTAGGCTCAGGAAGGACATTCTGAGGTTCTGGATTCACATTGACAATGTCAGATCCAGATGCGCCATCGCCGGCAGGAGGTAAATTCAAGTTTAACCCCTGAAAGGCTTCGTGGACCAACTCCTTTTTTGGAAGGTTTGATGAAGCATCGACCTGCATGCACAAGGAGGGAGCGTTCTTCACATCAAAATTAGAAAAGCATCATATCATCAAGAACACTGAGGCAAGCAAACCATTCTGACCTGGATAAGCACCCATACACGCTGGCCAAATTTCTGCCCTGAAGACGAAGCCATCCTCCAGTAGGATATGTACCTACCAGGATGCACAGGAGCAGTAAAATCAACTGCCACATCAAGCTCCTTGTCAACAGCCAAGCAAGCTGTAGTTATCTGCAATGCATATGACATCATGTCATGAAAACTCTCCAGATACTCAATTCAATAACTGTCACCAAGCAGGAATTACAAGCACAAGAAACTGATTTCTCTTATAACTTCACCTCTAATTCAACAGAGAATTTATCACTTAACCTATCTCCCCCAATCCAAACAAGTTGAGTTCCTTGAGGCCAGACAAGGTTACCATTATTCCTCATTCTCCAGATCTTGGTAAATCGAGTCAAGGGAGCCATGATGGTTCCATCCAGGATATTGACATCCTGTATGAAGCGGCTGTCCAGCTTTGGCCGACCTGGTTTCACCCCATAGCCTCGAGAGACATGTGGAACAGTTGGGATACGAAACCTCGCAGCATGCTATATATGACCACCCAAAAAAAGGAGTTAATAGAGGTGAAATAGAGAGAGAAGACACTATGAGAAGTTTGAAAAACAACTCCTTGTACCAGATCATGTAAACCCTTGAAAGACAAGGGATGCCGGTAAGTTAAAGGACGATCCATTCTGATGTAATCAGCATCATTTCCCATTTCAGCAAAGCATATGCTGCAGAGATCATAGTTCTCCTGTCTGCATTAACACAAGATATTGGCTGTATCAGTTAATGTCAGCTTAGTTAAAAACTACAAATAAATACAATTACAGGGTCCTTACACTTTAGATATGAATCTAGGGCCAGTTATTGGATGAACACCACAACCATCACAACGAACACCTCTGTGGAAAATAGTCCCAGTCCCATCACTGTGATTATGACTCCTTTTAAGTGGGACCTCAAGAGGAGGTGGGACAGGGTCGTTTGGCACCCCGGAAAATGGACACTCATTTGCAGGAACCTGAACTAGACGTGAAGCGTTCTTTGGCACCTGGGGAAATGGACATTCATTCGCAGGGACCGGAACTAGGCGTAAAGTAGGCATCTTGATAGAACTGCCACTGGAATCTGCATTACGGGAATCCCAGATGCATTTTTTCAATTTGCCAAAACTTGCAGAGCCACCCATATCAACGGGCTTAGCTACAGAATGATTCTTGCTGGGCTTCTCCCCAGAAGGCTTTTCTGGTGGAACAGGTGAGGCACTATTATGTGAGAAGGCAAGAGGCTTTCCACCAGGACAAGCACCAAATTTCTTATCCTTCTCCTCCCCACTATTTACCAGCAATGTGTGAGCATTAGGACCTTTGGATGACGATGGCGCAGTTTCAGTTTGATCAGCTTCCAAAGCATTTGATTTAGATCTTAGCTTGACCCAGGCATCTAGCGCATCATCCACATAATTGAATTCTGATTCTATAGCTTTAGCCGTTCTCCCTGCATCATTCAGGGCTGTGTGGGGCTCGTTCTTCTTTATGGATGGCACCCCACTTTTACCATTTGAATTGCCTCCATCAGCAACCATAGTATTTTCATTAGATGCTCCACTAGGGAAGCTTGTTTCTTTGACAGGCTGAGACCCTGAAGGATGATTCTGGTAGTAGGATAGCCCCATCTTAGAGATACCATCAACAAGCTCAGCAAGGATTGGAGCAGAGGATGAGGCCCTTGAAGTCAGGTCAGAATAGAGCTTCATTACAGTTTCACGCAGAGGTTCTGGCACGGACTTGAGAGCATCAGAAACACTGGAATTCAAGTTTGGAAATGGAGGCTGAACCCGAGGTGATCGTAAGGGAGTAGAACTTCCACTAGATCTAGATGAAGGCCTGCTACTTCTTTCGGCAGCATTCAACCTCACAGATATTCGCAAGGGATTCAGGTCCTGCCTCATAACGTCCTGCAGATCCTCATCATCAACAAGTGTAACTACATCGCCATCCTCATCAACATATGTTAGTATGAGTTCAGCATCACGAGCAATGTTGAAAAGTTGAAAGATCTTGTCACTTAATCCATCCATGTTAAGATCAAGTTTCTCATTGATGACACGAGCATTGAATCGCCTGAGTGTCTCTTCATACTTGACCTACAAATCATAAAGATGTTAGAGTAGGCCACACAAAAGAGTGGTGACCCCAGAGCCCAAAACAGCAGCTCTGCCATTGCTCAGCAATATTGTTCCACAAGTTAAAAACATATACCACGATGTTCATTATGTTTTCGTGAAGAACAAATTACTATGATATATACAAATGTACACACTCTACCAAGTAGAAGGCACAAAAAGGCCAGAGATATAGGAAAAAGTAAACCACAACAAGGGCACTCCTTTATGAAATTGAAAGCTCAACCAACCGCGAAAATTAAAATTACCAATTTGGGAAGACAGAAATGTCCCAAAATGCTAGCTCAACTTAACAATAACAGCCGTATGAAACCCCAAATATTTTGCATGTCTCAACGATGGAAAACTAAAGGTTGTTCTGAATGAGCAGACGGATAAGCACAAAAATTATGACGAGCACAGTATACCAATACAAAAAATACTTGCAGAAGTGGTAAAATATTGACTAATCACTGCTGTTCACGAAAAAAATCTCAAATCAGTCGATTCGCAGAAGAAATAACTTAAATTTAGCCGTTAAAAGATGACATCAAAGCCGAAATTAATAACGTATATATACAAAAACCAAAAGAGATATAAGTGCTTATCAACTCAAACAGAAAGACGATATGAAAGCCGATCAAAATAACATAAAATTGAAAGAAAAAAAAACCTCAGAAAATCGAACCTTGATCACAATAGCAGACTCCATAGCCATAGATAGGTAGAGTGAGATATCAGTAGACAATCGGTTCCAGATTGGCGTTCCAGGTAAACCGCAGAAATCTTAAGTACGAAACCACTAAATATACGAATAAAAACAGATGAAAATAAAACCCTAACCCTAGAAATTCAGGAGAAACAAGACGAACAATTCAACAAAGTAGAGCGATATAAACGGTGAAAGAAAAGATGAGATAATAATCAAGAACCAGATTTTCACGAAATAACTCCACGCGTATCCGTAAGCCGCGCTTCTCTCACTAAAACCTCAACGCTATATGTGTTTTCGCAGGACTATCACTTTTATAGTCTTTTTGGGCGAGCTCCGATATTTTTTTTTTGCGTCTTTCTTTTATTAAATTCTATTTTTTAAAATACTTCTATTTCTTGTTCCCAAAGAAATCAACAGGGCTAAGGAAACCAAAAAGTCTTCTGAGTCATTATCCGAACCGATAATAATCTGTTTGCAAGAGCACGATAAATAGATTTGGACCCTCGTGTATTAACGCTTTGATTGGTTAGTTGAGCCGGTGAAAAGATTTCCTACTATAATTAACTAGTATCGTGCGTACCCCGCACGATGTAATAATTTTATGATCCTATTAAACTTTATAAATTAAAAAAATAATAATAAATGGAGTAATAATTTAAAAAATATATTCAATAATATCTTAATTTGAATTATAAAATATATATTTTATTATTATCTCAATCGAAATACCTCTCACGACAACATCAACTTCTACCATCCTAAGGTACACAATTTACTACATTGTTTTAATATTAAAAAGACAAACTAATATATACATACATGTTGATTTATAGACAACCAACATATTCTCACTTTTGGGAGTTATCAACATATAAATACTTAGATAGAAATTTGCTCAATAATTTTAATACCACTTTAATTTTAACTACATAATTAAGCCAATTTATTTTTAATAATTTAAATGATACCTTTATGACATAGTGGGTTGTCCAAATCACATAAGTAAGAATATTCGATAAAAATCTAAAACTTCACGAGGTTTAATTTTATTTAGCAATTTATTTTATAAGAACCAACGTCTTTTCAGTTAAATAAATTTTTAATATAATTTTAATATTTCTCTTCTACCATGCACATTTCCTAAAAGAAAAATTAATTAAATAAATTTTATCTTTAATTTTATCATAGTAACTGTTAGCATTAATGGTAAAAATTAAAAAGTCAATGTATTTCTTCTAAACAACTGAAATATAAGACAAAATATAAAATTTTGAATAATTAGTTTCATCGTATAGTAACACAACTAACATTTAATTCGGGCGAAATTAGAGTAGCTTCATACTTTAAAATATTTTTCCCACAAAATCATTAATGTATAGCTTGCTATCACTTACTCTTGTTCTTCTATACATTTATGATTGATTTAACTCCCTTCCAACATCATTGAAGTTACTTTATAATTGATCGGATCAAACTACATGCCCATGACCATTCTCTTTTGAGATTAACTTTAAAAAAATTCGAATCACACGTCTCGATTCTAAAAAATGAAATATTAATTGAGCAAGAGAGAATCAAACTACATACCTAGTGACTTTTAATTTTCTATTGAAATTAACTACATAAGAATTTAAATTATATTGTAGGCAATTAAAATTTATTGAATTTAAATCCATAAGAAATTTGGATTTGATCTCAATAAATATATTTTGGTCCAAATAAATATTAAGGGCTAATATAACTAAATTAATTACTTAACTCCAATAAATATTGACTAGGCTAGCCCATTTAGTTGGGTTACAAATGATGAGCCCACTTTATTAAGCTCAATATGTCATCTTCCTAGAGGTCCAATTTGATGCCACATATCAAATGACATGGCACACCAAGTCAAACGGAAGAGCCAATAGGATCATGCCACATGTCAAAATGACAAGGCATGCCAAGTCAAATTAAAAGGTCAAATCGCACCACATGTGCAAGTGACATGTTCTGGCCAATCAAATGTAGCATTGTCAAGCTCCAATCTGATTGGCCGGAAAGAGTTTGTTCTTATCACTACTCTTTCCTCCCACAATTATATATAGGGATCTTCATAACTCAGAAAAGACATCAGAAGTTATAACAAGAAGCAAGAGAGAGCTCGTTGATCAAACGCCGCAAATTTCTCTACAAGTTTCAAGCTTCAAGCAATCAAGTTCAAGTTCAAGAAATCAAGTTCAAACTCAAGATTAAAGAACAAATCAAGGTTCAAGGTGTACGTGTTCAAATTAAATTTCGTGCTAGCGGAATTAAAGATCATCGTTCATGGCAATAAATATAGATTTAAGATCAAGCTCAAAGACCCTTGAATTTATTTATTATTGGATTGTAACACTCGAATTATTTGAAATAAAATACTACGATTGTTGCAATATTTTTCGATCTCGATTATTCTTTTGACGCAAATTTATTATTTACAAATTTTGGCATGTTCAGTGGTACCAGTTCTGCCATTCATCTCTTTCTCCTGCAAATCAAAAATCAAAAGTTTCAAAATCATCTGTTGTGATGGTCGTATACTTCAAGTGATCTTGTCTTCAAGTTTTGGCAAGCCTACACCTCGACAAACCTTGAAGTATGGGGTATTTGTAGATATCTAAATTTTAATGGATCAAGCCTATACGAAATTTGGGCTAAATCATAAATTCAAGACACTACTCTTGAAATTCTAGGAGTCTTTGGAGGCTACTCTATTAACACCCTAACTTGGAGGCTACTCTACCCTAACCTTAGGATGCTTCTATAAAAAGGATTACATATTCCCTTAAAAAAAATCTCAAAAATAGAGATCATCTCAAATATCCATAAACTCAGGGGATACTCACAAAGAGAACAAGATGTGGTCGAATAATTCTTGATAATCAAATACTTCAAGAAGATCCACATCATGTTTTCATGGATATCAGATACATCCAAGAAATTTCGCATTATCCTACGTTCGAGAAATACGCTGCTCCAGCCCTCGAATCACGGAGATAATCATGAGAGAAGAATCAAGGGAGAAACAGAATTGTACTCATAATTGATTGATAAAATTACTTTAGCCTTTTGTAATTGCAGTTATTTTTTGTGTGTTAAAAATTTATTGCAAACAAATTGGCACGCCCAGTGGGACAAGCTCTACATCTCATCTCAACTTTTCAATCACCAAATTTCAAGAACATCGAAATAGCTTCAAAGAAAATCAACTCCACTACGAATTGTTCCACTAAAGATGCTAATTTCAAGTTCTATGCTCATGTGGAAAAGATACTCAATATCACGACCCAAAACCCACTATAGGCTGTGATGGCGCCCAACGTCTTTGTTGGGCAAGCCAACGGTGAACTATGACATTAATTGTTCATTTTATTACTTTCGTAATCATAATTTTTATTAAGTAAGGAAATTTACAACTTTAAAATTACGGGTACATACATAATTAGTAATGCATAAAAATAAAAGGTGATAATAATATGTAAATCCGTAAGCATCAACTAGAATATCATAAAATCCGGTGTCACAAGTGCACGAGCATTTACAAAGGAGTTTAATAATAATACAACATCTGTCTCGAATGTAAATAAGACAGGATAAAGTAATTAGTACGATGTAGAGACTTTGTGGGCTGCGATATATAGCCTAGAATGCAGCTCACCATAAAGTCTCCCCAACACCTGCGCCTACGCGCCAAGATGACCACCAAATGAACCTGTCAGATCCTGCACATTTAGTACAGAAGTGTTGCATGAATATGTAAATCAACGCATACCCAGTAAGTATCTACCCTAACCCCGGATAAGTAGTGATGAGGGGTCGATATAGACACTTACTAGAGGTCAAAATAAGCAGTATGATAAATCATAAACAGATATGAAGAACAACAGTAATAATGGGGTAAAACTGTAATTTATATAATTTTCCAAAATATCTTTTAAAGATATAAATTTCTCAATCTCGTATTCTATCTCAACAGCTCACACATATCAAGTGCTAATAGCAAATGGATAAGGAATACCATATAATATGTCAGGCATCAGTAGAAGGAAAATCTCGTGAATATTCGGGCTGCTAGCGATATAACGCACGATTATGCCGAGGTCGTACGGCCCGATCCAGAGTGATGTGTACACTGCCGAGGGTCGACCGGCGTGAACCAGAGTTGCATCTCAATATACTGCCGAGGCGTTCGGCCCGCACCATAAGAAAGGATGGAACTTATCGAATTGTGAGTCATGTGCTCACAACACATATACATGTGTATAATAGTGAATATAACCTTTACCGTTCATCAAATATCTTGGCAACAACTCAAGGTGATAAAGCTTGATCTAATATATATATATATATATAAATAATTGAACGGTAAAGGTTGAATATAGTTGAATAATTGAATATATAAATTCAGTTTCAATTATAAATTTAATTAATTAAGCTAGCAAATGGAGTTCAAATAATTCAATTATTACATGATAGAATCCTGATTCTACCCGGACATAAACATGCTTTAGTCACGTACGGACTCCCGTCACCTCGTGCGTACGTAGCACCCACAACTAGTAGCACATAATATTTTTATCACCTAGGGGTAGTTTCCCCCTCACAAGATTAGACATGAGACTTACCTCGTTCCGAAGTTCTATAACCGGCTCCAACGCCTCTCTAATACCTCGAACCAATGCCCATCGATCCGAAACTAGTCAAAAATCATGAAAACCAATATAAATATACTCCAACATCATAATTAATTAATTTATAGCACTTCCTAACTCCACTTGAAAAGTCAACAAAGTCATCCATCTGGCTCACGTGCCCGAATTCCAAAACTTTTTGAAGATTATCATTACCCATAACACCACAAACTCATATATATATTTTATTCTCAATTCCATGTTTAATTTCTTGGACAAAATCCAAAAATACCAAATTCTAGGTTTTCTCTTAAAATCCCACAATTTCTATCAAATTCCATATTAAAATTTGTATATAATCCATTTATTTAACTCGAAACGAGTGGGAATAACTTACCTCACAATAGATGGTAAAAATATCCTCTTTAAGAGCTCCAAAAATCGCCCAACCAAGTAAAAATGTGAGAGAAATGGGCTTAGTCCCGAAATAAAGTCTTAATAACAGCCTAGATGTCGCATTTGCGACATGAGGTTCGCAAATGTGATGGTCGCAAATGCAAAATAAGCATTGCAAATGCGAAGCCCGACCAACACTGCCTGAGTCGCAAATGCGACAAAAGTCTCACAAATGCGAGCTCAGAGACACC